AGTACTGTAGTAACGAATAGATATATGAAATATTGTAAAACCCCTAACCCGAATACAAGCCTAAAAAAGAAATGTGATGACCAATCAAATGCGCAAACGTTTTTGCAGATCATTCTAGAACCTGATTTCCAAATATGGTATATTCCCTGACTGTAATAACAAAGGTTGTACAATATAACTGTCCATTGGTCCAAAAGATGATGATGATCGTGTGATTTTTGAAGCCGAAGAATATGAATTGGAGGAAGAACATGAATTAAAGGATATCGATATAGTTTTATCGGTTTCTGTAAAAGTAAATTTTGTAAAAAAATAAATAAATATATACAATATATATTTCTATTTATTGTATAGAGCGAAGCGACGGAATTAAATATAGACCTTTAGGAACATTAACTAGTTTAAAAATTTCTTCTCTTTTTTTGGCAGTTGTTTCCGCAATAAAATGTACACATTTTTTGAAATGCGAAATTATTCTGTCTGTTTTATTAGAAAAACAACGTTTTGAACCTTCCATTTGGCCTAATTGATTTATACATGGTTTACAATATATTTTTATATTATGTTTGTTTATCTTTTCGTTAGTTTTAATGATAAATTTGTCAAGAATCTGTGGTAAAGGTGGTATCACTACTTGGATTTAATCGTAAAAGAAAAATTTTATTGGATTATGTAAATTACTCGAACTTAACAGAATAAAATTACACGTCGATGACTTAAATACTGAAAAAATAACTATCAAAACGAAAAAAAAATTGATTATCAAAAAGCTATATCAGTATTTGGTCAAAAAAAAAGAAAAAAGAGCATCAGATGATTTTGTCAAAAAAAAACGTATCAATTACTAAAATTAAAGGAGTTGTCAAGGTCTTATCAGTATGCGTCTAAAAAAAAAAAAAGAATCAACGACTTCAACCATTGACTTCCTTTTTGAACTTGGCGTTCATGTTAATCCCGTAAAACCTTGATAAATAAAGATAAAAAAAGAACGTTGAGAATTTTTTTTTTTATTTAGATAAAAAAAAAAGTTTAAGATCAAATATTCCACCATTCTATTAGAAACGACACTAACAATTCTATTATCATTACTACTTTTTAGAATGAAATAACTTATAAAAATGTTGTATTTCTTTTAAAATTCGAATTACTGAAGTTTGATACATACTAATACTGTAACGAATTAATTTTATAATCTTATCCTTTTTGATGTAACTGATTATCTAATTAAATTATTATCGTGATTGTTAAAGCCCTCGAAGGAGGCAATGTGCATATTGACATGAGGATTACACGATAGAGTAGTGCTTCTGATGTCATAAAGTAGATTTCAGAATGTGTTCTCTTTCATCTTAATCAAAATGTATAAAAGTGAAGCTTTATTTTAATAAAAAAAACCTCGTTCTTGTAATAAAGCAAGATAGACATTAAGTTGCCCTAATAGAATTACTAGAATTACTATATATTATAGAAACCTTTTATTATTCAATCCACATAATTTCTAGTAGCGGTTGGAGCTACACTGCGTATTCATTGTGCGTCGCTCTCCCAAACCAACCATTACAATATGTAACGATAAAGTTTTAATATAAGACTTTTACAATTTTGGGAAACAATCAGAATAAGGTTTTACTGTTACAGGTTTTTATCTTGTGCAAAACTTGTATCCACATTAATGCAATAGTATAGCCAATCAGAATTATTACTGCCAATAGTGTGCTTGGACATTTGGATATTGTCTATGGACAAATATCCATGTCTAATGGTTTGATTGGATATTTATTAACGATCAGCCAATAGCATGGTTGGATATTGGACATCGTCCATGGACAAATGTCCATGTCCAATGATTTGATTAGACATCTTATATGATTTCAAATGTTACAGATCGGCAAAATTTTTTTAATCGATTAGATTACAACTAATCAATTAATCGATTAGTTGCAACTAATTCATTAACGTTAAGTAAATAAATAATTTTTCAGTCGATTCATTTGCAACAATCGATTATTGCGATTTGCAAAATAATGTGAAATTTGAAGATCATTAAAAAAAAAAGTAATCACGATTTCTGATTACTGATTTCTGATTCTTCAACATTTTTTTGGTTCTTAAATTAGACAAAATTTGTGCAGTTATTATTTTGTAAAAATTTTATTATTTTTATAGAAATTTAAGTTGCATATTCATCATTTTGCAAAAATAGAGTTGCGAATTAAAATATTCAATCAAATTTTTACAAATAATAAATGCGCAAATTTTGTCAAGCCTAAAAGTCAAAAAAATATTGAAAAAATCAGAAATCAGTAATCAGAAATCAGTGATTACTTTTTTTTTAATGATCTTCAAATTTCACATAATTTTACAAACTGCTTAGTCAATTAATCGATTATTGCAAAATTATGTGAAATTTGAAGATCATTAAAAAAAAAGTAATCACTGATTTCTGATTACTGATTTCCGATTTCTTCATTTTTTTTGACTTTTAGACTTGACAAAATTTGCGCATTTATTATTTGTAATAATTTGATTGAATATTTTAATTCGCAATGCCTAATTCTGCAAAATAATGAATATGCAACTTTTATTTTCATAAAAATAATAAAATTTTTACAAAATAATAACTGCACAAATTTTGTCTAATCTAAAAATCAAAAAAATGTTGAAAAAATCAGAAATCAGTAATCAGAAATCATGATTACTTTTTTTTTTTAATGATCTTCAAATTTCACATAATTTTGCAAACTGCAATAATCGATTAGTTTGTGTCTAAAAAGTTCAATCGATTAGTTATCAACAAACTAACTAATCAATTTTTTCAACTTTCGATTTGTAATACTATCTCACGCTAAAACATATACTTTATATTCAACAAGACTTCAGCTTTCCAAAATTCCTTTCTAAGATTCAAACTTCTTGCTAGTGACAATAGGTAATATCGATATATGGCAACATAAGACTTTTACAAATTCGGAAACAATCAGAATAAGGTTTTACTGTTACAGGCTTTTATCCACATAATGCAATAGTAATTATTACTGACCAGCCAATAGCATTCTTGAACATTTGGACATTGTCCATGGACAAATGTCCATGTCCAATGATTTGATTGAACATTTATTACCAATCAGCCAATCAAATCATTGGACATGGATATTTGTTGATGGATGATGTCCAAATGTCCAACCAAAGGCTCAAATATAGTTTGATGTGGTCAGGTTTGTATTACCGGGTATTTATTAATTTAGTAGTATCGATTTACAAATTATTTAGTTACATCAGTACATAATTTGGATACATTGTTATTAAATCTTCTATTGTTGCTTGGCAAACATATTTTGAGTTTGTCAAGGATCGTACTTTGATTACGCTAAATGTTTGGTCAATAGGATTTTTGTCTTGTACGATTCTAAATCTGAATGTTTGAAATTTTATTCTGTTGTACGCTGAGGGTGTATTATGTAATCGTTTTAATATAGGTATGGATCCTAATGTTGTGGCTATTGAGGGTTGTTGTAATTTGTTAAATATTATAATATATCTTCGTTTAGAGTAGTTTCTAGTTTTTTGTTCCACTCAGTATTTAATATTGTTGAGTTTAGATACTTCTTTTACAAGTTCTTTTTTGTAAATTTTTAGTTGGTAAATATCTTTTGGGTTATTGCTTCATATTGTTTATGTATTAAGAGGTCTACTTGTTCGTATGTTAATATTGGTAAGTTGAGTTCTTCGAATTGAGATTTGTTTTCAGAGTCTAATTCTTTTTCTTTATCATGTTTTAGTCGCATTAACATGTCGTAATTTTCTATTGAATAAAATATGCTGTTTAGTTGTATCTGTAATTCTGGTGTAGGTATTTTATTGTTTGTTATTTCAGCTTTGGTGAAGTAGCTCCAATTGGAATGGGTTTCTGGTTCCATTCGCATTGCAGTTTGATTGTATGAAGGATGTACATATGTTTTTATTTCTGCAGTTACTTTGTCGTTCCATCCTTGTGGATTTCCAGGTGGATAGCAGTTATAGCCTACTTCTAGTAGTTTTTCTTGATAAAGTAATATTCCAGTTTCTTCAAAAGTTTCTCATATTATTATTTCTTCAAATGTTTCTTCAGGGTTGTCTTGTTTTCCTCCAAGTAGATTATACCAGAAATAATACATTTTATCAGGATTTATCCTTTAGTATAAATATATTACTGGTAATTCTTGTACGTTCCAATCAAATATTGCTATTTGTGCAAATTTAATAGTTCTTCCAGGTTGGATAATATTTTGATGTTTTTTCATTTCAAGAGTCGTGAGATGGTGGTATTCCATCTAGTAGTTGGAATGTGTAGAATCTGTGATTTTCTTCTGAGTTTATATCACAACGATTATGTGCTTCTAATCTGTGGTTTCAGGATAGATATTGTGTTTCTTGTATTAGTACGTTGTAATATACGGTATCTATTTTGGTTATGTATCCTTTTGTTATTTTAGGTATTTGTTCGTTGAATATATTATTTAGTTCTTCAAATAATATTTCTTTTAGATATCATGTATGGGCACGTTCTCTATTTTCTTGTTTTGTGTAAATTTTATTAAATGTAACTTTTTGCTTTTCTCGTATTTTTATAATTCTTTTTGTGAAGTTGAATACTTCAATAGATTCTTCTAAATTATCTATTGTTAAGTAAGTGTTGTTTTTTATTCTAAATTGTTGGGCATATAGGTTTCTTTGAGTTTTGTAATAGTTTATAACTTCTTCTACTTGTTGTTGTAGTTTTGATTTTTTAGTGTAGTATACTGAATTATATCTTTGTTTTTCTGGATTTCGTGTTTTTAGTATTTTTTCTTTGATTTTTATCTAGTAATATTTGTCGTATAGTATTTTTGGTTTGAATATTAAACTATTTCCAATTAGGTGGTTGTTGTGTAATATTTTTGTTTCAGGTGATCATTGGGAATATAATTCTGAGTAGTATTCTAAATTTTCAATTGAGTATTTATCTTTCAGGTTTTTGGTAATTTTCATTTAATAGTTGTGTAGCGGCCAGTCTATGTCGTATACTGGTGTTAGTGTTCCTGTTCGTTAGTATATGTTTAATTTTGCTTTATAATGAAATGCTTTGTATCGTATTTCACTTTCTATTAGTTTATCACTATTATCTGTGGGTATCTTCTATTAAATAAGTATTGGTCTGGTCCTTCTTGTATTATTTCTAATTCTGTTAATTCTTTTTGGAGTTTCAGAATAATTAAGTACTTGTTATTTTCGTATACATTTTGGAGTGTAAGTTCTTCTTCTTCTAATAAGGGTATTGCAATTAATTTTATAGTCTTGATTATTTGTTGTAATTGATTATATCTGTGTCAAATATTTTGTATTATTTCTGTATCTGGTGGATAAATTACTCTGTTAAGTACTTTTTTATTATAGATTGGGTTATACGGTCTTGGTATTTTGCCGTATATAATTATAGGTTCGTTATTTATTTCAATTAGTTCTTGCAGGAATGTAGGTGATGAGTCTTCCACTTCTTGT